GGACAGGGACAAGAGGTGCTGATGTATGAGCAGTCCCAGTTTTTCCCTCTCCCATCTGCTAAACGAAATGCTGGCAGTGCCCCTCAGGATGACCTTCCTCTTCCCACCTTGCATCTAATTCAGATTGAAAAAGGGAAGGGTGAGGGAAAAGGGATGGAGGATTTACACCAGAAAGGGCCTGAATTTACTGAGGATGGTGGGTGGTCAGCAAAAGCAGTGGCAGGAACTAGGTGAAAATCCTCTCAGATGGGGTTTTCAAAGTGTAAATTGGAGAGTGGAAGAACTGGAGAATGAAGCTTCTAGAGTAGGTATGAAAGGTGGAACAAGAGAAATGGGAGCAAGGGGGCTTTTCAGAAGTGGCACTAAAGGTTTTTAATTAGGCTACATTGGTAGTTGCAGACAAATCTTTCAACTACTTGAAAGTATTTTGAATTGTTGGACTACCTTGAAAGTGGGCTCTGAGGGGCCCTGACTTATATTAGAGTTTCATTAAAGGAATCCTTAGTTTGGGTGCAAAGCTTAGTGCTGGGTTCCTTTAACATTCACTACACAGTAATTAGGCAGCTTCAGTTTCTGAATTGTAACCGGTAGAAGTAAATTGACTCCATTCCTCTGAAAGCTAACTTGAATGCTGCTACCAATTCTCCTCAAGTGAGAACGTAAGAGGGTAAACACTGGCTTTGAGACATCTCTGGGTATTCGCATACAGATCATCTGAAAAATGGAAAAAGGAAAGAGTGATGCTTCATCCAAGCCTGCTGACGTGAATGTGAGTACCATGTGGGAAGCCGCCTCTCTCAAACGAGTGCCATTTATTGTTGACTTTGTTAGTAAAAGGAGACTGTTTGACTTTGTAAGAATAAAGAGAACAATAACAAACCACTTTATCTTTTTATGGTATTAAATGGATTTTGCAAATGTGAGCTTGTTTTAAAATGCTGTACTTGGCAATTGACTTGAAACTGTTTTTCTGAAACTCCAGGGAAATTATACTGATCTTTGTACAAATTCCATTTTAAAATTTAATCAGTGCTAACTGAGACTGCCTATAATGTGTTCTTGCATTTAAAGACCCAATTGCAGCCTTGTCAGTTCTGTGTGTACTGGTATTTCTGTGGGCTTCCTTCTTTTACATCTTTGGAGGAATATTTGAATGTAGACTGGATGCTGTTGGTCAATTCATCATATAGTGGAATGTTTTTCCCTGTAGAAGTACCAACTTCACTCCTGCAGGTCACAGCATTAAATGAGATCTGGTCTCATTCAATTTCACTAGGATGGATACAGGCAACTTCACAGGAGGGGCTGACAAGGGTAATTAGCAGAAAGAATGAGGGAGCCATGAATAATTCAAAGTGTACTTGGCCACATAGTACCCCATTAATTGGTAGGATTAAAGACTTTGAGGCATGAATTTCGAAGAGGAGAGTGAGAAGGAGAGAATGCTCACCATAGTGCAAAAGAGAGATTTTTTTTTGGAACTGTGTTCTAGGTTGCTGCCTTTAAAATAATGTGTAGTTAAAAGTTATTTCTTTACCAGAATTTATTGATGCTCACATGTATAAATCTCTCCTTCAAAGAGGCTAAACTCTTGTATACATTATTAAAGAATTCACAGCATCAAATGACAGAGGGTGGAAGATAAAAAAAGAGGAGGAAGAGAAACAGTTAAATAATGTATTTTCCTCTTGCACATAACACTTCACACATCAACACATTTAAACCAATACTTTGCAAATCTGAATCCTCTATTTTTTCTTTCATTTTATTTAAATTTTTTTCCCATTTATGACTAAGAAATTATGTCACTAATCAGTTCAGTGGTTGGCTCAGAGCCAAATGCATATGGAGCAATGGTAAAACAAAACATGCTTGATTCCTGCTCTACAACCCTACACAAACTAGGCATCATCACCCTTAGTTTTTGCTTTCCACCACCCAGCCATGAAGCCATAATAAAGAAATCAATTTCTGTGAAGAACTGGCTTATTTTCATATTTTCAATCCTGCCTCAGTCCACAGAGCTCTAGTGGTGTAGTGGGTAAGGTTTTTAATGAGAAGTTCAGCAGTTCAAACCCACCAGCTGCTCCATGGAAGAAAGATGGGACAATCTACTTCCATAAAGATTTACAGCCTCAGAAACCCAATGGGGGTCACTATGAGTCAGAATTGACTCGATGGCAATGAGTTTGGTTAGGCTTTATAATGTATATATACATACATACATACAAAGAGCTCTGGTGGAGTAGTGGGTAAGGCATTTGGCTGGTAACCAGAAGGTCAGCGGTTCAAAAACCCAGCAGCTGCTCTGTGGGTGGAAGATGAGGCAATCTACTTCTGTAAAGATTTATTTACAGCCTTGGAAACTCAGTGGGGGTCGCTATGAGTGAAAATTGACTCTCTGGCAGTGTGTTTGTTTTTTTTGTCTTATACATACATACATACATACATATGCACATAGGGATGCTGTGAGTTGGCTTGACAACAGTGGATATATAAACAATTTGATATGTTTAGGCTTTTAGCACCAGGATTCTCCAGACTGTTTGTGTTAGTTACTGTAAAATGGTGTTTGTGTGTGTGTGGGAGGGCATTGCCTGCATTGTCTGACTCCCTATTAACTCCACAGGACAGAAGGAGAATCGTTATCTGCATCAGCAGCCCAAGGCTGATTCCAAAGAGGCAGAGGTCAGACATGCCTCTACCCTCCAACCATTTCACCAGTTCTGACAACAACCCTCAGTCCTCTCCTAAGGCACCCTATTTCTCTGCTGGGCTCAGTAATTTGTTTGGCACTCAATTCACAGAGAGTACTCAGTATTATGGGGTTTATTAAGGAAGTAACAAGTAACAATTTAGGATCAGAAACAACTCAGGATACAGTTCTTTGGTCAGGACCACTTTGTAGCAGAGTCCACGTCAAGTCTCTCTCTGTGCCTCAACCCCAAGGCCCCTCTGGCTGGCCTCTGACTACTCTGCCATGTTTTACAAAGCCCTTTCAGCTGTGCTGATAAGTGCCCAGAGGTATCCCACTCTGCCAGTAAGCTGTGGCCTGAAAGTACTCAGCTCTAGCTCCATGGGTCATCAAACCTGGCTCTGCCACATGCCTGGAGACACCCCACTCTACCACCAAGCCTTCCAGCTGAAAGCACATGGATTTCTTGCTCTGTGGGCCAGAAGTCTACCTCACAGTCTCTTGTTGGTCTCTTGCCAATCTCCTGGTTCTGCTGCCCCAGTTTCTCTGCTACCACCTCTCACCATCTCTGGAATCCAGTATTACAACTCTCTCTCTTCCTGTCTGTTGCCTGGATCTAGGAGATTCTCAGTGCAGGGATCCTGGATCCAAAGCCTGTGCTCCAATCCTGCTTCTTCTTTCTTGGTAGTAGCGAGATTTCTCCCCTTTTTGCCTCTGAGATGGCAAAACTGACCAATCCCATTTTTCCACAATGGTATGTACCTTATTTACATTATTAGTAAACTATCCAATCCCATGGGTGAGCCACAAGAACCACATTTGCATAGTTCCACCCAGTCATTTGGGGAGAGTTACAAAGCCTATGGCTGGAAGGGCCATATTAAGTAATTCACTGCATCGCGGTTACTGTTGAGTCGAATCCGACTCATGTCAACCCATCTGTTGCAGAGCAGAACTTCTCCATAGGGATTTCTTGGTTGTAATTTTAACAGAAACAGATTGCCAGACCTTTTCTTCCTTGGTGTTCCTGTGTAGGTTTGAACTGCCAAACCTTAGATTAACAGTATTTACACTCTAGACTGCTTCTAATTGATATTGCATCTCTTTTTGTTTGTTTCTTAAAAGGTATCAAATATCTCAGTTCAGGTGGTCAGTGCCCAAGGGAAGCTGCCAGGGAGACAGCCACAACGAAAACCCATCAGCAAAGCCAAATTCAAGAAGAAACCACCGAAGAAGAAAGCTCCCTTATGGAACGTCCAAAACAAAATCATCATTTTCACAGCGTTCCTATTCATCCTAGCAGTCATAGCCTGGACACTTCTATGGCTCTACATCAGTGAGTTAAGATTGTGCCTCTTTGGCATTAGTCCAGCATGAACAATGTGGGTACCTGACCCTGAGTGTTCCTGCTAGGATTTTTCTCTTTCCCAGACTCACATTCTATTTCCAAAACTGGTATTGAAGTTTAGGGAGGCGAACAAACAAACAGAAAAGTCTTTCCCATTTTTTTCTTTTACCACCACTTCTTTCTTTCCCAAGAAGACAAGTAGGGAACCTTGGGGACAGGATGAGAAGAGCTAGGGAGGATGTTAGGCACTTTTGACTTGTTCAGAAAAGTACTACATTTATAGCTTTAAAAATGAATGGGATGTTTAGCCATTTCGCTTCTTCATTCCACCCACTGCCTGTTTCTAGGCAACCTTCAATTTCCAGCTCCCTGAGCTAGGTTGTTACTGTGGTCTCTTTTACACATGCATCTTTCCTCTCTTGTGGATTATGGATTTGCCAATCTGATTGATCCTTTTGGACAGGAGTCATAACTAAGCTCTTTCATATTCATTGGTCTACAAGATGGGTCCCCTATAGTTTTAGGGAAATACAGGTTAATTTATTTGGTATAAAATATATATATGCCCCAAAGCAAAAAACAAAACAAACAAACAAACAAAATCACCATTGAGTTAATTCCAACTCATAGAGACCCTTTAGGACAGAGTAGAACTGCCCCACAGGGTTTCCAAGGTTGTAAATCTTTACAGAAACAGACCGCCATATCTTTCTCCCCCAGAACAGCTAGTAGGTTCAAACTACTGACCTCTCATCTCAGTTAGCAGCTGAGTGCTTAACCACTATACCACCAGACCTCCTCTTATGTAGTCCCAACGATTTTAAAATCTAGTTGGAGAAGCAAGATTTATAGGCAAAAAATTAATGAGTACTATGGTGAACTTTTCAGGTCACTTACACATATACAAACTGAGAGGGGATAGGAGAGGAGGGGAAGGGACTGAAAATTAAAAATAAAGAAGGGTGGGGGGAAAGACAAATTGATGATCTATTATTTGCTTAGCACAATGTGAGGCCATGGATATGGGCAAACAAAGATGAGTAAGATGCAGTCCCTGCCTTCAAAAAGTTTACAGTTCAGTGCTGGAGAGAGGGTAAGAGGTGATTTCTTTGCTTGAGAGAATACTTTGCAATCATAAAAGAGGGGGATTTAACTTGTCAGTACCGTAGCAACCCTATAAGACAGAGTAGACCTGCCCCATATGGCTCCCAAAGCTGTAAATCTTTATGAAAATAGACTGCCTCGTCTTTCTCCTGTGGAATGGCTGCTGAGTCTGAACCCCAGAACTTTTGGTTACAATCAAATCCTTTAACTAGTGTACCACCAGAGCTCCTTAGCTACAGAGGACTAAACCATTGAGAACAAAAAGAAAATGGAGCAAGGAAAGTCCTTATGTCTATGAAGCTATTTCCTTGTTTCTCAGCTGTCCTTAAGGCAATATCATGAGGGAAGGAGGGGAAAAGTCTCTGTCCCTCTAGTTTGCAAAGTTCCCGGGCAGGCTTGGTGCCCAATTGCTCCCACAGTTCTCACTGGGAAGAGTACGTGAGAAGGCATTACCTAACACTGGGCTGAGGGCCACACTTTGTGACTCATTGGAAGGATGAATTCACAGGCACTGCACAGATGGCCCAGTGTCCTGGGCATCAGGCATGCAAATCATAGAGGGGACAAAAACCTCAGGTCAGCTGGGGCCCTACCCTCTCCTCTCTTTGGGCAAATTTTAATACAGAACTCAATTGTATACATTTCTTACCTCCTTGCCTCCCACAGACTGGGGATCCAGGAAAGTAGTATACACACTTATTAGTTCCTTAGCATCTCTAGGACATGTATAAAGACAAACAGGCATATCTTTTTCCTTTTAGTCGTGCTCTTGCATATTTACCAGAAAAAGAAAGAATTGTGTTCTCAGAGATATGGTTATTTACTGCTCATGGATGAGAGGCTATTAACCATAGCCAAAGCTTCACAGAAGGAGTCCCTATGGCACAGTGGTTAAGCATTTGGCCAATAACTGAAAGTTTAGCAGTTCATAACCACCAGCTGTTCCATGGAACCCTACTTCTGCAAAGATTACAGCTTTGGAAACCATATGGAACAGTTGTCTTCTGTTCTATAGGGTGGCTGTGAGTTGGAATCAATTTGATGGCAATGGATGTTTTGTTGGAGCGTCACAGGCTACCAGTAAAGTATTTAGTTGCCTAAAATTTTAGGATCCTGCTACACAGTGAGAAAGCCTCCTAATTGCCTTCTCTCTCATGTTACAGGTAAGACAGAAAGCAGAGATGCTTTTTACTTTGTTGGGATGTTCCGCATCACCAACATTGAGTTTCTCCCCGAACACCGACAGAAGGAGTCCAGGGAATTTCTTTCCGTGTCACGAACTGTGCAGCAAGTGGTGAGGTGACTGGAGACGGTCAGGGAGTGTGGGGAATGGAAGACTGAGTGGGTTGGGGATGGGATGGAGGGATCACAGGTGTCACCAGTGGCAGGGTTTAGAGGCCTAGAGGGCTGGGTGGATGAAAGTGATCAGAGGGAGACATGGTATTTAACTCATCTCTCGTATAAGACAGAATTTCTTATATGATAGAAATCACTTATTTCTTTTCCTGCCTAAAGTAAAAAGAAATGATTCTCTGAGCTTCAGTTTTTGTTGTTGTTGCTTTTCTTATCTGTAAAATAAAGGAATTCGATCAGGGGATCTTTAAAATATCTTCCAGTTCTGAGGTTATATGCCCACTGATAAATTCTGTAATCTGTACATATTCATTTCAATCTTGACACATGGGTGATCTCTTCACTTTTTTTTAAAGCTTTCTCATCAAAGAAATAATGTATATTTAATGTAAAAATATGTAAAATTCAGAAAAGTATTGAAAGGACAATAAAATCTTCTATAATTTCATCACCAGTGAAAGAACTCCTTTTTGGTCTGGACCACATCAACACAGGGAATAGTGGAAAATTGGAATATTAGAGCATATTCAGTCTTGTAATATAATTTTTCCCCTTAACATTATATATTTCCATACATGGAAGTATTCTTGAAAAATTTTTAAAGTTTTTAAAGTTTTAAACTTTAGTATCTATAAGGTATTAGCGAATCTCTTTTTGTTGGATGTTTAGGTCATTTCCAAGTTCTGCTACAATGGATAACACCATAATAAAACTGTTACATAAATTGCTGTATCTCCTACTACTTCCTTAGGTAATTTTCTAAAAAGTATAATTACTTGGTCAAATAGAAAAATGTCTATCAATGGCTCTTGGTACATATTATCAATTAGGGAGTTTTTGCCAGTTTGTGTTTCCACAGTGATAGATAGGGTTACCTCCATAGTGGGGTCTTAATGAAGTGACAAGCACCCAGCAGTGTAGAATTAGAAGTGGGAGCATTTGGCCACCATTCGTCTGTCACTTTCTTGTCCTGTGGTGGCTTGTGTGTTGCTGTGAGACTGGAGGCTATGCCACTGGTACTTCAAATACCAGCAGCATCACCTACGGTGGACAGGTTCCAATGGGACTTACGCACTAAGATAGCTTGGAAGAAGGACAGTGCTGTCTACTTATCAAAGAATTGGCCAGTGAAAACCTTATGATTAACAGTGAAACACTGTCTGATATATTACTGGAAAACTTTATCAATAGTCCTGAAACTTTGTCTGATATAGTGTTGGAAGATGAGCCGCTCAGGTCAGAAGGCATTCAAAATATGACTGGGAAAGAGCTGTCTCCTCAAAGTAGAGTTGACCTTAATGATATGGATGGAGTAAACCTTTTGGGACCTCCATTTGCTGATGTGGCATGACTCAAAATGGGAAGAAACAGCTACAAACAGCCATTAATAATTGAAACATGGAATGTAAGAAGTATGAATCTAGGAAAATTGGAATTTGTAAAAAATGAAATGGAGTACATAAAGATCGATATCCTAGACATTATTACAGAGTTGAAATAGACTGGTTTTGGCCATTTTGAATCAGACAATCATATGATCTATTATGCCAGGAATGAAAAATTGAAGAGAAATGGGGTGGCATTTATAGTCACAAAGAATATTTCAAGTTCTATCCTGAAGTACAATACTGTCAGTGATAGGATAATATCCATAAGCCTACAAGGAAGACCAGTTAATACTTCTATGGTAGTTATGTTTGTGTATCAACTTGGTGGGCCTGGCTGAGTGGCTGGGCAGCTGGTGGTAGTTATTCCCCATGATGAGATTGGCAATCAGCTCCATGGTGGGATCTACCACAAGCAGCTGAGTAGCTGCCTTTGGGATGTGGTCTGCTTCCTGTATATAA